AAAACTCCAATAGATTGCGACATCTTGTTCAGAACATTCTGAGGATGATTGCCAACGACACTGCACAGTACAAAATATGGTGTTATATTATTCTCATATTTCCTTTATCGAAAAATGATTTGAGTCATCCAAAAGAAAATAAAAGTTTAAAAGAAAAAAAAACTGATAAATGGCTACTACTCGTGGGCATAATTCAAATCGAATGGAACGTTTGACAACATGTCCTATTTGTTTGGATAAATTTCGTATTCCAAAAGTTTTACCATGTATGCATACATTTTGTTTAGCACCATGTTTAACAAATTTGGTCGATCCACGAGCACGTTCATTACGTTGTCCTGAATGTCGTCGAGAACATATGATTCCACGAGGTTTGATAAAAAGATTTTTCTATGTAATTAATTTTAATTAAAATTTTATTATCAGGTGGAATTCAAGCATTTCCAGCTGATTTAACAATGATTGGATTTTTTGATACTCAACCATCACCAATTATCAATCCTCCTGATCGGTGCTTTCATTGTAAACAACAAAGACAAAGTATAATAAATTAGAAGATAATCTAACTACATCCAAAGAAAATTATATGTATTTTATTAATTTATTTTTAGCACTAATTAAATGTCATGATTGTTCAAAGTTTTTCTGTGGTGATTGTCGTGAACCACATTTACGTGAAACATTTTATAATATAAGTTCATCAGTTAGTCAACTTCGTCGTACATTACCAAAATTAAGCGATAAAATTTCATCTTATGAACAACGAGTTAATAGTGTTAAAACTAATTATGAACAAATTCGGCGAGAAATAACATCAACTATAGCTGCTTTAATTGATGAATTAAAACATCGTGAAACAGCATTACTTACTGAAGCTGAAGCGTACATGCAATCACAATTGAGGTATATAAAAATGATTGATGTGTATTGTACTTGTTCTACAATATTTCTTTTTTTTGTTTTAGAACGTTTCGTATACAACAAGAAACCGGTGAAGTTGAATTAGCAAATGTAGCAAATTTTTGTGAATCAGTAGGAACATCCTTTCCGAAGTAAAAAAAAAAGAATAACAATTTTATTTGAATTATTTATGATTTGATTTATTTATTTTAAAAAGTGGACAATTAATCACTGATGTAGATTTAGCACATATGCGATCACAATCTAATCTTTATGCACAACAAATTGATGCTTTACAAGCACAAATATCATCTGATGTGCAGAAGGTGAGCAGGTAATGAATAAGGTCATATGTATGATTTAAAATATGTCTATATATTATCGACAAAATTATCCAGTTACGATTTGTATTTAATGACCAAGCAGCTATTTCTTCTGCTATACAAAATTTGGGTCGATTGATTGATGGATCTCAAGGACAACAACAACAACAGCAGCAGCAGCAGCAATCACAAACTTCAATAAGTCAAGTTGCTCAATTTCAACAACAGCCACAATTTTCACCAGTACCATATCCACAAACTGCAACACAATATGCAACCCCGTCACGAAATCCATTAAATATTCAAGAACAATCTCAAAATAATCAACGTAAGTCTATGAATGAAAATAATTGATTACTTATTTTGTTATTAAATTCTTTAGGTCGACATTCAGAAAATCTTTATTATTCTAATGGTTCTGTAGCATCACAAGCTCCTTTACTATCTCAAACTATTGCTTATCGTCCTACACAAATCGATACTCCACGAAATACTAATAATCCATTTGCTGATCTCAGTTTAACAGTGCCTGCTCGTACTACTACATCATCCTATACAGCTTCATGGGATCAACAAGCAGCTCGTCGTTCTACATCTAATCTTCAATCAACGTCTATCTTTGGTCAAAATCCATTTGCAGCGAGTAATTCTCGACAAGCACAACAATCCACTGCTCCTCCGGCAGCACCACCAGAACCATCTCCACGACGTCAGTATGTAACGAGTACAACTGCAGCACGATCACTCGAAGGAGATGATCGACCAATCTTTGGTGGTAGGGGCAGCGGCGGCGGCGGTGGCGGTCGAGGAGGTGGTGCTATGCGAGGAAGAGGTAGAGCTTCTAGTATTGCACCAATTCCGGAACAACAATCTTTAACGAACGATTTACAACGACAGGGTACATTTATGCTTGACCACCCTACTTTACCTAATTTACCACAATCCGGTGCTCAAAAACCGCGTGATACAGTAATTGTTCGAGAGCTTTATAAGGTTCGACGACGAAACCGTGCTCGAACACCGGTTGCTTTTACTATTAATCTTAATGAAGGAATCCAATCGCCAGCTTCCCAAGCCGCAGACAATGCTACTGGATAAAACATTAAGTTTTTGTTTGCTTATTAATTTCTGGTATTTTCGACACGTTAGATATTTCGTATGCATTCTAGATGGGTTGCTCACAGCTATACGTTTATTTATAGTCTATCTTTTTATTTTATGAAAAATATAATTCACATATAAATAAAAAAATAAAAATTAATTTCACTGGGATATAAGCATCAATCTTTCTCCTTTTTAAACAAATCATTGACATACTAGTGTAAAACTTCACGTGTGTAGTTGTAGGTGAGAACGTGAGACTGTGCGTGATGCTGTGGGTGTGCGTGGATTTCGATGTGCTAATTCTCTTCGAACATACTCACACGCGTCAAACTCATCTACATGGACTCACTTCTTGAGACAACTAGAAGTAACAATCGAATGCTTCGAGAATCACATCGAGAAATGAATTATAGATATATTAGACTATTTTATTGCATATTTCGAAGAGACAACAAACATCCATAGCATCAAAATAATCAAAATTAATGTTGCTTTTAAAACTGTTTCATCAATGATAAAGAATCCATATGACATGTATAAAGCCCAAGCAATACAAGCTGAAAATGGTAAGTAGTAAATTGATCAGTGCTTGATTATTACATGCATTCTCGTGTAAGTAGACGGCAAATGGCGGAAGGAATAGAGCGATAGTAACAAGACAGCAGTCAGTCATTGTGTTATTATTTCAGAAAAAATTTACCAATTAGCTTTTGTTCTTGCTTGTTTTGACAATAATGAATAATAAAAGAATTGTGAGCAACGAAAAAGTCTTTCGCGATATATGCTTTGACGCTAACTGCATTACTATTCTATTTCAAGGACAAACAGATATTTCAACTAAAAGCCAGAGTAGAAGGGCTTTTATCAAAAATCGAAAAGAACAAAGTATCTTGTTTACTTTTCAAGGTTCATCACTACTATAATTATCATCAAAGCTTCGCCTGGAAATAGTCAGCTATGGATAATTCAAATGCTTATTTAACCTTCACTACTAGCCTATGTTTCGTTTGTTTTAAACACTTAGCTGTATGGTATTTTACCATGAGTAGGCAATTTTTCTGCACTTTTAGAATAAACTTCCGAGTTGTCAATCTAGACAGACAAATATGCTACTTATGAACTAAATACTCTCAAGGAACTTCTGAATTATTTTCTATCTAGTTTATGATCTTCATAACTTTGTAATGGAAAAGTTTTTACTGGACAAAAATGCACAAAATTTCCACGAAAACTCGTACAAAAATATCTGAAATGCGCAACTGAAAATCATAAAAAGATTCCAAAAAGTTCATGAAAAAGAACGCCATTCAGAAGCGACCTGCATCCTTTCCTTCACCAAAAATCGATTCGAGATTTCTTTTGTCCCTGATCCAACCACTTCGGTGAAACGATGGATGAGCTGTTTCTGACAATTCATCGATCAGATGGATCTAAAATCAAGGAGCAGAATAGTAGGTCCTTACGAAAATTTTTCTTCTTGAATTTCCCCCTACTCCATTTTCATATTGAATGGTAATGATTGTTAATTAATGAATGTTCTCCCAGTGTATCGTGTTAGTAGGATCAGAGTCAAATCCGCGCTGTTAGTGGGTGATAGTGGACGATGACTCGTTTTACCAATGTTCTGATTTTTTATTGATAGGCACCTGTCGGTGACTGAATTATATGAGTAGTGCATGAACTGCGTAAGGGCAATTCGAGCAAGCATTGCTGATACATTTGTCACATAAACATTTAATGATAATCAAGTAACAATTAGTGCATTGAGCTGAATTGTCAGTTAAATCTATTTAATATTTTTTAAGGAATAGGCATCACTAGAGATTATCAAAAGACAACAAAAGGCTAGAAACTTTGAATATTATTTTTGCTAGAGAAAAAGTAGATAATTACAAATTAATGTATTTGAATGATGTGAGAAAGAACAGATCATACCTGAAAAAAAACCGTGTATCGCGTAAGCATGTAATATGTAGAATGACAAAAATTTTACAGACTAGGTTACTCTTTAAATAATTCGACAATGGTAGGCATAGTTTTTTTTCAGATGTAATGGATCAGTATGACTATTTACTTTTTATTTTTTGAGATGATGATGATTTTGTGTTTTATTATTATTCTGTCATTCATAGTATTCTTTTCGTAAACTATTTTTTTTCCTAGTTCAAATAATGATGATGAAAGTTTTAACTACACATGTATTTCTATTCAATATACCAATACAAGAAATAAAATTTTCACAAATTTGTCTTACAAATACTATACATTCTTGAAATCTTTCGATAAATTTATATTACATGTAAGGCAAGAGAATTTTTTTCGTACAAATAAAATCAAATGATAGGTAAAGCACGTTTTAAAAACAAGAAGTAATCGATTCAGAGAGTATAAAAATGGAACTCTTATTTTTTCTTCTATAATAACAGAGATTTAATAATAAGTAAATGTTTAAAAAAAAGGTATATTGTGAAATTCATTATCTCAATTTGTTTACTATCATCATTAAGAAGTTCATCAGCTGTGGTATTAAGACAAAAGAAATATTTTCAATCTAGACCGTAAAAACGCTGTTTCTATCATTTTATTATTCCCATCAGTAAAATTTATTAATACTACGAGATAAGAAAAAAATCATATAAAAGACAAGAAAAAAAAACATTACATGTATATAGTTTATTGTGTTCCTGTCGGAAAATCTCTATCAATTATACTCCAATCGACGTAGCTTCCAATACTACTTTCACCTCTTGATAATTCACTTTCATCACGTGCTGTCATATCACCACCAGCACTACTTCGTGCACTAAGTCTTGTACCACCATAAGTATTAGTATTCAAGGCACTAGATCGTCGATTTTGTAGTAATCGAAGATCATCACCATAAGTATTGTCATTTGTTTGTTCAGTTACACGAGTCAAACTATAAGTCGTTTCATCCATATTATCAATATCAAGTTCATCAAGATCAGCTAATGGTGTTACTGTTTTAGTTAATTTTTTACTAGGTAATGTATCTTGATCGTCAGCCAATAATTGTTTAACGCGATCATCAACTTCCCAATCAGACAAACTCGCAGAGCTTGAAATAATATTTAAAAACAAATTATTTCTTAAATGCTTCATATGAATGCTTACCTGGACGGAGCACTTGATGGACGTTGTTCTAATTCGTCTTCTTGTTGTCTTTGTGATTGTCGTTGTCTTTGAAGATGAGCTGATGCAGGTCGTTGCAATTCTTTCATTCGTTCTGAATAAGTCTTTGTTACTCGTAGTTCCGTCTTTTCATAAGGTATATAAAGACCTGGTACTCGTCGTGTACCATATAAACGCATGAGTGCTTTAGGATCAGTTGAATCTGGTTTTGTTTTTGTTCGTATTTCACTATCTGTTTTATTTAAAGCACGTACACGTTGATTGTATGTTGTTGGTTTATGAGCGGGTGGTGGTGATTTACGTATTGTTCGTACCAGTGTTGTTTGAGCTTGACTTCTTTTGACAGGAGTAGTCATTGAACCTCGTTTTTGTCCAAGATTAGCTGGAGATGAAAGTGGTCGTTTTCTTGCCATATTACTACGAGCTGGTGGTGGACCTTTTTGTTTAGCCTAAATAGAATATATATCGATATTCATCGTATATAGAAAGAAAAATTCTCTATTGAATTTTAACATATGTATACAGTTAAATTAGAAGTAATTCAAATTTTTAATTTAATTCCTTTTCAGGACAAATTTATAATGTATATTTAGAAATTTTAACTGTCAAAAAAAAAATTAAAAAAAAAACACAATTCAAACCTGAATAATAGCTTTTCCCATTGGTGTCATTTTTCGAGAAGATCTAGTAGATGATGCTGATGATGGTCGTGGTAGAACTGAAGATGATGTTGAATATTGAGTTGCATTATGATTAAAATTAGATGTTGTAGCTGACATTGGTCTTGATGGTATACGTTCTGAATAATCATCACCTATATCAATATCATCATCGTTAAAATCAAGATCATATGTACGATTAATCATGCCATCAGCATGTGCCATTTCACGTACAGTTGATGTAAAACTTGTTTCTAATGGTTCAATTTGAAATTCATCTAAAGTTCGTGTTGATGGTATAGGTTCACCATGAAGAACAGCATCAGCATAACGAAGAGCATTTTCATCACGTACACGTGATAATAATTGTTGTTGACGTTGACGAGCTTCACGATGTCGATCAGCAATAGTGGGTGATGCAGTTTTACGTGGTGTACCAGTTGTTGAATGTGATTTATGACTGGTAGTTTTACGTGGAGAAAATGGATCACGAGGTGTTGTAATTTTAATTGAAATTGGACGTTCACTTGATATTTGTTTACGTGGAGAACTTGTATCACGAGGTGTAGTAGTTTTAATTGACAATCGACGTTCACTAGAAACTTGTCTATGTGGTGAACGAGGTGTAATTGAACGAACTGAGATTGGATCTACTATATGTGAACTTGTATCAGAAATTGGTTCTGTGAGACGAGGTTGCTTTATTAGATATTCAAGAGGAACATCCTGAAAAAAGAAAATAATAAGTACATAATAGAATTATATTCAATCAAATTACATACATGTTCATCTGGTTCATATGTTTGTATGTGTGATTCATATGAAACTCTTCGTTGAGAACGATCATCATCAACATTACCAAAAGCAAGTCGTTCGGCTTGTTTTTCTTCTTCTTCTCGTTGTCGTCGACGTTGTAAAATAAGTTCACTTTTTTGTTGTAATTCATCAGCATTATAAAAACCTAAAGGTTGCTGTTCGAATCCTATTGGATATGAAGGTCGTGTCATAGGTTCTTGTTGTTGCTGTAATATTTGTGTATGTTGTCGTTCGAAACCAATGGGATAAGTAGTTGATGGCATTCCATTTATGTTAGTAACCGTTGGTACTGTTGGTGGTGGTGGTGGTTGCTGTTGACGTAAATGAAGTTGTTCTCGTTCTATTTGATCTCGTCTGATTTGAGCCAGTAATGCATCAGCATGTGGACCAGCAATATCAGAAACATTAACAAATTTTCGTTCATCACCTTCACCGCCACGAGCATATTGTAAATCATATAAAATTTGATGAGCAGGTAAATCAGTCATAGTAGATCGTTCACGACGACGAGCTTCAATTGCTTGTTGTTGAATTTGACGAGCAGCAGAATAATGAGCTTCAGCTGATGTAAAATTTACACCAGTAGCATCTCGCAATAATGTCTATGATGAACATTGATAAATAAAAATTTCGTTTTTATTTTTGTTTTGTTTAAAATAAAACAAAAACTTACTTGAAAAAGACCTGGTTCAATAACAAAACCATCTTGTCGAGGTATTTCAACTTGTATACCTGTATCAATTTTTGTGTCCGATGATTTACTAACAATATTAGATGTAGGCATCGGTATATTTATCTCAGTAGTATTATTTATTCTAGGATGTGAACGCAATTGTAATAACTGAAGACGAGGTCGATTGTTGTCAGCATATTGATGCATAATATTTTGTACATAGGATAATCTTTGTTGATCAGCTTGTGTTGCTCGTGGTGAAATGGCTACTGGTGGTGGAAGTTGAGGAGCTAAATGAAGCATTGGAAGAGGAGGACGTGGTGCTGGTGAAACATATATTGGTCTAGAAGGATAAACAACAACTGGTGGAGGTGGTGGTGGTGGTGGTGGTAATCGCGGTTGCACTAACATAGGTGTAGTAGTAGTGATTACAGGAGCTCCGAGACGAAGAAGTGGTAAACGTATTGAAGGAATATATTGAATAGGTACAGGTGCTTGAACTTGATTATATGATGATGGTGGTGGTGGTTGAATTTGTGGAAAATATTGATGATGTTGACGATCATGTTGTGGATCTCGAGAAGATGGTCGATGACTATATGTATCTCTAGTAGGAGATCGACGGCTATGTGGATCTCTTGTAGGAGATCGACGACTATTTGAATCTTGAAATGGTGGTTGATGATTATGTGAATCTCGAGAAGATGAATATTGACCGAAAGGAGATTGTTTCGAAGGCATTGTTCTGTTAGAATCTAGATGTAAAAGTACATGTAGACTTTCTTAAGTTAGAAATTGAATTAATTCAGTAAATTTCAAGACAATGAATTATTCTATTTTGTTTGATTTTAGAAAACTATTTTAAAAAATCTTACAAATAAATCTTTAGAAAATTTTTCAATTATCTTCAATCAATATGTAATTATGAATCCAAGAACATAAACTGAATTTATTCAAAATTAAATTCGATTGTATTTAATAATAAAAATTTAAAATCTAATTCTTTCTTATTAGTAAAATAAAATTATCTGTTACCTATCAAAGCATATTTTTCTCGTTCTTCTTGTTCAAGTCTCAATGCCAAGTATGGATCAGAATCATCAAGAAAACGACGATCACTATATGATTGTCGAACTGAATGAGGTGATGGTTGTTGTTGAAATCCATTCGTTGTTGATGGTGAAATATGTGATATTGGACTTGATCTTTGTTGATTTCTATGTTGATGACCAGGTGATTCTTTATAATCAGCTAGAATATCTCGTGGATCATAAGTTAATGTTTCATCAATACCAGTTTCACGTGATGGTGCACGAAAATCATGACTACGACCAAGATCTCCACCACCATCATTACTCATTACAGGTAATGATACACTTTCTTCAAGTGAATTTTTTCGAAATGAAATATCACGTCGACGAGGACTTGATGGTAAATCACTTTGTGTATGACTTCCATCATCATCTTCACTATCTTTAGTTACATTTGTTAAATCAGAATCATTTTCTCCTTGATCATTATTAAATTTCATTTGTTGTGAATGTTGTTTAACAATTGTTGTATAATGTTGTGGATCACTAACTAATGAACTTGATGCAAGAAATTGTGCTGATACAGGAATACGCATATTAGTTGTTTGTGTTTGATCAGTAGTTGTTGTAAAATCACGATTAGCCCAACCTACCATCCAAATACTACGTCGAGCTGCTTCATCATATGGTTCATCAAATTGTCGTACATATGATCGTGATGGATCATCTGAACGTCCATCCCATTCCATCGATGGATTTCCATTATTATTATTATTAGTATTATTATTATTATTACTATCTGAATTATAATAATTACGTCGATGATGATTTTCAAGAGTGACAACACCAGGTGGTTGTTGTGTTGAAGATATATTAACAAAACTTCCAATAGTATTATTATTTCTAGTTGTTGGTGTTTGTTGAAACATAGTTTGTTGTGTATCATATGGTATCATACGTACAGGAAAAACTATATATTCATGTGGTGGAACAAAAAGTGGAGCTTGTTTAAATAAATATCGTTTATCAAGATTTATCGGTAGTTCTAATTCACGTAATTGTGTACTCATTGTTTGTAATAAAGGAATTGATTTACTATCAAATTTTGTATGATCATTATTTAATTCTTGTTGTTTCATATTAGTTAATGATGATGTATCAAGAAGAAGTGGTATAAGCATTGTCATAAATTCACCATATTCAACACATGTTTCAAACCATTTAGGTTTTAAATCAAATAATGGTTCTTGATTATGATGATCATGTCTAGAAATAAATTTTTTAAGGAATTTTATAATATGATTGAAGATTAGATATTGTTACATTGTAATAATAGAAGATTATCACAAATATAGCATAAGATTATTAGTAATCATCTATTCTGAATTAGTTTTTTCTTTTGCATGTGAAAAAGTTTTTTGTTTTTCTGAGTGTCTTTCTTACTGATCAAAAATCTTTGATTAATAATCAAATTTAATATCAACAAAGATTTTGAATCATACTCAACTCTTTCTATCGATTGGAATGAAGATTTTTGATATATAACTTTTTCTTTTTAATGCATTAAATTTTCTTTAAAAGTCACAAAAAGATTGACTTTTACATCAGTCATATGTCTCTGACAGAGGAAAATAGTTTAAACATGCTACGTACTCATCTGTTACACCCTTCCCTCAAAAAAGAATTCAATTTTCGTCAGAAAAATTGAAATTGAAATGATCAGACTGAGATTTGATCTTTCATAAGCGATATGATTTTTTATTGGACATCTTGCTTTGTCATTGTCCATTTGAAAAATATGCTATTTGCAGCAAAAGCAGACAACGGTTGTTCTTTATTTCTCTATTGTATCTGTGTTTCGAATTCATTCTTTTTTTTTCGCAGAAAAAGTAAGAATTTAAAAAGAAAGGTCAATGCAATCTGACATACTTTTTCAAATAAAAGAAAAATTAAATCTATAGAATGAAGATCCATAGAGAACAAATGAGCTATTTTTGATCTTTATTTGTTGAATATCTCCCGAAAATGTTATGGTATAAGACTGAAAATTTTACCACAACCAAAAAGCGAATCTAATTCATCTTACATATCATTCATATAATGTTGAATAATATCTCCTTGAACATCTTGTAGAATAATTGTTTCTAAAAATCCTTCATATAATTGAATATAAGTTGGATTAATTTGCATCCATTTAGCTTTTAATTTATTAATAATTAATGTAATTTCATCATTATTATCTATATTATTATCTTGATGTTGTCGTGCAATAATTAATTTAGCTAATGCTCTCATTAATTGTTCTGATGGTGTTAAATCAAAAAAAATATTTAATACAATACGTAATAAATCCATTTCATCTGATATTAAACAACGAAATGAAAGTAGTATTGTTGCATAACTAATTATTTTCCATGAAAGTTTATCAGATAGATTTGTTAATTCAATTTTATGACGTAAATAATTACGTAATGTAAGTGATAAACGATCACGTGTATCTAATAAAAATAATATAATACAAAAATCACGAAAATAAATTAATATTCGATCAGGTATATTTGGTAATTTATGAAAACGTAATGATTTAAGTAACATTTTAATTGAATAAAAACTATCATTTGTTTCATTTGTTGTTTGTTTACGTCTATTATTTGTTATTGTTAAATAATCTAAATACCATTTAAGACATGATAATTGTATTCGACTAGCTGATAATATTTGTATAAATATATGTATTGTACGATAATAAATTAAACGTATATGTGTTTCATATTTACATGTTATATCATATTTATCATCATCATATGTATTTAATATTGAAGAATATATTGGTGGACATGGTAAATAATATTTTGATGATATAAATATTGGTATTAATGTAAATAAATAAATCATAATAGCATTTAAACGTCTTAATAACATTTCAGTTAATGGTACTTGTAAAAGTGTTGCACATTGAAGAAATTGTTCTAATGTTGATGATAAATTTTTAATAAATAACATTATTTCATCTTGTTTATAAGTATGTTTAAGTACAGATTTAAGATTATCTATTTGAAGATATTCACATAATTTTGTATAAAGTAATGCATCAACTGTTATTGTATTTAAAGGTGAATATGATGGAGATGTTTGTTTTGTTGATTTAGGTGTATTATATA